CCCTGAGACCATGCATTGTGAGGGCCAGCTCACATCAGAATTCGCACAGGAACACACTTGCATTCCTGTGCGATTTGAGTGCAGTGAATTTTCAGCACCGGACCCAAAAAGCAGCACATGCGCTACTTTTAAAAACGCACTGTAACCTGATCACATGGAGCTTTGGTGCACAGGCTACGTACAGCGCAGTGATGTCACTGCTACTTTTACAAGGTAATATCTGGGTTCGTACACCCCTAAAACCAGGTAGAACGTGTAACATGTTCCCAAAGGTGAACTTATCCTTGAGCACTTGGTTGAAGGGCTAACCAGCATGACTACGAAGAGAGCACTGTGGAATTTCAATTAGTTGGAGCCTCGCTGCAGTTCTTATCTAAGGTACATGTGAAATGCGTAAGAATTATTGCTAAATGTTTAACATGTTTTGTGCAGATGAAGAAGTGTTTCACAGGAGGTCACATTTCATGTACACAGCTATGGTATGTTCTTTGCTTTTTGTTGGTCTGTCCTGTTCTGTAAGTATCCTGAAGGTTCCTCTGGTGACATGGTAGAGTAATATACTTGTGTCCATCGGTTAGGTGCTCATAGCTGAGACTTGCAGAGGGCTGATTGTCTATTGTAGAGAACTTCAAACTTTCTAAACAAAGATCCGGTTCTTCAGACTTTAGAAGGGTGGACTAAGGACAGTGCTCATGGAAAATGCCCCAAGATCAGTGGGAATAATGGTGGTCTGTGGGAGCAAATCCTCGCACGGTCCTCCGGACATAAGTCAGTAGGAGGAGAAATAATGCCCCATCATTGGTGTCAGTGGGAGGAACAGTGCTCAATCATTTACATATGTGGCAGGAACCACACCCCATCTTTGGTGTCAGTGGGAGTAATAGTGTTGGCATCGGAGGAATAGCACGCCACTGTTGGCGTCGGTGGGAGTAATACTGTTGGCGTCGGTGGGAGGACTCTGTTGGCGTCGGTGGGAGGACTAGCGCCCCACTGTTGGCGTCGGTGGGAGGACTAGCGCCCCACTGTTGGCGTCGGTGGGAGGACTAGCGCCCCACTGTTGGCGTCGGTGGGAGGACTAGCGCCCCACTGTTGGCGTCGGTGGGAGGACTAGCGCCCCACTGTTGGCGTCGGTGGGAGGACTAGCGCCCCACTGTTGGCGTCGGTGGGAGGACTAGCTCGCGCCCCGGTGGGAGGACTAGCTCGCGCCACTGTTGGCGTCGGTGGGAGGAGGACTAGTCGCCCCACTGTTGGCGTCGTTGGTGGGAGGACTAGCTCGCGCCAGCGCCCCACTGTTGGCGTCGGTGGGAGGACTAGCTCGCGCCACTGTTGGCGTCGGTGGGAGGACTAGCTCGCGCCACTGTTGGCGCCACTGTGTTGGCGTCGGTGGGAGGACTAGCTCGCGCCACTGTTGGCGTCGGTGGGAGGACTAGCTCGGTGGGAGGCGCTGTTGGCGTCGGTGGGAGGACTAGCTCGCGCCACTGGCGTCGGTGGGAGGACTAGCGCCACTGTTGGCGTCGGTGGGAGGACTAGCTCGCGCCACTGTTGGCGTCGGTGGGAGGACTAGCTCGCGCCACTGTTGGCGTCGGTGGGTTGGCGTCGGTGGGAGGACTAGCTCGCGCCACTGTTGGCGTCGGTGGGAGGACTAGCTCGCGCCACTGTTGGCGTCGGTGGGAGGACTAGCTCGCGCCTGTTGGCGTCGGTGGGAGGACTGTTGGCACTGTTGGCGTCGGTGGGAGGACTAGCTCGCGCCACTGTTGGCGTCGGTGGGAGGACTTGTTGGCGTCGGTGGGAGGACTAGCTCGCGCGCCACTGTTGGCGTCGGTGGGAGGGACTAGCTCGCGCCACTGTTGTTGGGAGGGCGTCGCCACTGTTGGGGTGGGAGGACTAGCTCGCGCCACTGTTGGCGTCTCGGTGGGAGGACTAGCTCGCGCCGCGCCTACTGTTGGACTAGTCTGTTGGGGTCGGTGGGAGGACTAGCTCGCGCCACTGTTGGCGTCGGTGGGAGGGGAGGCGCGCCACTGTTGGCGTAGCTAGCGCGCGCCACTGTTGGCGTCGGTGGGAGGACTAGCGCGCGCCACTGTTGGCGTCGGTGGGAGGACTAGCGCGCGCGTCCACTGTTGGCGTCGGTGGGAGGACTAGGCGCGCCACTGTTGGCGTCGGTGGGGAGGACTAGCGCGCGCCACTGACTAGCGCGCGCCACTGTGTTGGGTCGGTGGGAGGACTAGCGCGCGCCACTGTTGGCGTCGGTGGGAGGACTAGCGCGCGCCACTGTTGGCGTCGGTGGTGAGGACTAGCGCGCGCGCCACTGTTGGCGTCGGTGGGAGGACTAGCGCGCGCCACTGTTGGCGTCGGTGGGGTAGCGGGAGGACTAGCGCGCGCCACTGTTGGCGTCGGTGGGAGGACTAGCGCGCGCCACTGTTGGCGTCGGTGGGAGGACTAGCGCGCGCCACTGTTGGCGTCAGTGGGAGGAATAGCGCGTCATATCTTTGGGAGGAACATTGTACTAAGGGCCATATAGAAAGGCTGCTTACTTTTGTAAACTTTGTATTTTGTGCTTTACAGCATGGATGTGCTAGGCGTGTAGACAGCGTGTATAAGATCCCGTGACACGGGAAGACGAGGCATTTCAAAGATAACTTTATGAAGGTGAAGATAGAACCGGTCAGAACTGTTGGCTGTCTTAGCCAAGGTTACAACCCCGTGTCAAGGGCTGCCATTGGCCAACTCCAGGTGTTGGTTCTGGATTAGGAATGAGATCCAATAAAGGTGCTGGACTTGAAGCTTGATTTTCTTCAATTATAGGTTGGTGGGAGTTCTTGTCAAATGGATCTCGGCCACTAGGAAAAGAGTAAAACCTTCTGGATGGGTTTCCTAAACATGGCCAAATATGCAGATCTGAAAGTGACTCTAAAGGCATCATATTCTTTTTTTAAATAACAAACATGTCTATACTTACCTGCTATATGCAGTGGTTTTGCACAGAGCAGCCTGGATCCTCCTCTTCTCAGGTCTCCCACAGGCTCTCCTGGCTCCTCCCTCCTGTTGGGCGCCCCCACAGCAATCAGCTTGCTATGGGGGCACCTGCATGTGTCCATTCACACAGGGAACCACGGCTCGACCCCCCCCCCCCCCCCCCACCCTCTGTCTCTTCTCATTGGCTCACTTGCTGTGATTGACACATTTGCCAATGAGAAGAGGGAGTCCTAGGATAGCCAAGACTCCAGTTCTCATCGCTGGATCGAGAGGGGGCTTAGGTGAGTGTTGGGGGGCTGAGGGGATACTGCACGCAGAAGGTTTTTTACCTGCATGAAGGTAAAAAAATAAAAATCAGCCTTTACAACCACTTTAATGACTGTATAATGTCATTGGTGGTCCGCCTTTATACAGCCAGTGGGCACTGCATGTCCACACGTGTTTATAATCTCCATCCAGAAGGTTTTATCTCATTCCGTATTTGAACTCTAGCTACCAAAACCAAGCCCTGAACCAGGTGGATTCCCAGGCCCCCGAAACCAGTTTTTCCACTGGCTATGACTTCACTGTCAGGAATAAAGGATTTTTGAGCTGATTGTTTTGTGCTTGGTTTCTTCCGTTCACATATTGATTCTGGACTAAAGCGCGCGTGCTGTGGAGCCCCAACGCTCGTGTTGCGCTCGTGCTGTGGAGCCCCAACGCTCGTGTTGCGCTCGTGCTGTGGAGCCCCAACGCTCGTGTTGCGCTCGTGCTGTGGAGCCAACCAACGCTCGTGTTGCGCTCGTGCTGTGGAGCCCCAACGCTCGTGTTGCGCTCGTGCTGTGGAGCCCCAACGCTCGTGTTGCGCTCGTGCTGTGGAGCCCCAACGCTCGTGTTGCGCTCGTGCTGTGGAGCCCCAACGCTCGTGTTGCGCTCGTGCTGTGGAGCCCCAACGCTCGTGTTGCAACGCTCGTGCTGTGTGGAGCCCCAACGCTCGTGTTGCGCCCCAACGCTCGTGCTGTGGAGCCCCAACGCTCGTGCTGCGGAGCCCCAACGCTCGTGTTGCGCTCGTGCTGCGGAGCCCCAACGCTCGTGCTGCGGAGCCCCAACGCTCGTGCTGCGGAGCCCCAACGCTCGTGTTGCGCTCGTGCTGCGGAGCCCCAACGCTCGTGTTGCGCTCGTGCTATGGAACCAGTGCTGAGAGCTGAAATATCACAACCCCAGCACCATATGAGAGCCTCAGCTAGGCCAAGTCATGCCCTTCCTGGTCACTCTGCCTTCTATTGGTGACCAACAAACATCCTGTGTGCATTTGTGAAGATGGTGTTGTGGTGATATTTCATTTTTTGGACTTCTTCTATGTCAGTGTTGTCCTTCTTGTCTCTATAGCATCCATTGGAGTGGATTTAATAAAGGCAGTTGCAGTCCTTTTTCCCAAGAGATTGGTAAATGTGGCAAAGCTCTGCTGATTGCTGTCATCTAATAATGTGCAAGCAAAATGTTGTTTTTTTTTTTTTTTGTTTTGTTTTTTTTAAATTTTCCTTGCATCTGATTGAGTATTCTTTATAAAGTGAAGCATTCCCACATTTATATTTCCTAAGGAAATTAAGTGCAACTGCACTTGCAATGTGCTCAGTCTTTTTTTCCCTTTATTAAATCAACTCCTATGTATGGTCAGTTGCGTGTAAGGAGTGCTCTGGATTCTTTGTACGTTACGGTCCATTCTGGCAGGTTCCCTGTATGTCGCCTCATGTGCCATCTATTTACAGGGCTGTCATCAGAACCTTGCAGGAAAAACCCTTTGTGGCTCTCAGTTTTTTAACCTGGATTCAGTTCATGATCCTATAAAAGTGGTATCTGGGGTAAATCGGTCCAGGTGGAACCACAAAAAAGATAGCGGAATGGAAGCAGGAGAGCACTTATAGTGTAGTAAATCATGTATGGTACATATACAAGAGTAGGATTGTAATACAAAAAAAAAAAAATTAACAAAGTTCTAGTTAATTTAATGTGTAAGGCCCCTTTCCTAGGGGAGTGCAAGGTGGGTAATGAATGTAGACCATGAAGTTAGACTCTTGGTGGAGCAGATCCTTCGTCCTGGCACAAAAGACAAGGATGGGAAAGTGAAAGTAAAATTTGGTGTATTATTTAATGATGGCCAATGTGCCAATTTATTTGAAGCCATGGTTGGAACTCTAAAAGCTGCCAAACGTAAGAAGGGCGTTCCGTATGTCCGTTTTTCATCTGTCCGTTTACGGATGAAAAACTGACACCCATGTATTACTATGGACTAATGGATGTAAACGGATGATCATTTGTTTACATCCATTAATTACATAGTTACTCTGGCTGAAAAAAAGACAAAAGTCCATCCAGTTCAACCGTAGACAAAAAAAAAAAAAGCTATACCCACAGTTGATACAGAGGAAGGCAAACAAATGAATGTCCGCATCCGTTATTATCTGGTTTTTTGAATGGAGGAAAATCCGATTTTTTTCTTCCGTTTTTACAAAAAAAAAAATGGAACGGACAAAAAATGTATGGAAAAACTGATGTGAACGGATGAAAAATTGACGTGAACTGATCCGTTTTTCTTAGAGAAACATGAATGAACTGATGACAAAAACAGAATGCCCGTGTGTAAGGGGCCTGAGAGGGATCTGAAAGGCTTCAACTAACCAGACCCTTTATGGTGAACACAACCTCGATACAAAAGCCTTCGGAGAAGAACTCTACCTCCACGCAGTGTCAATCTAGATTGCTCCCGATGCTCTGGGAGCCTAAATCTATGGTCTACCTGTGGGACATCAGGATGGTCATTTGAAGTTTTGTATTATGGTTAAAAAAAACTAGTGGTGCGCCGTAATTAAAATTCTGGACCAAACCTGAAAATTCAGGCTGCACTTGGCCAAAAACTGAAACCGAAATTGGCAGTTTTTTAAATTATATATTTTTTATATACAATTGTGTTATATTTGACTTTATAATTTAATATCATGAATTTTTAGATGAATATGAATTAAAAAAAAAAAAAAATACAATCCAGTAATGCGAGAAAAAAACTTTTGAAAGTTACACACAAAAATAGGATGGAAAATAAAATGAGATAATAAAAAACTTAAAACGAGGCATTTTTGAATTGAAGTCAATGGGATGTGATTTTGCATTGAAGTCGATGATTATCAGCACTTTTTTTTTTTTTTTTTTTTTTTTTTTTTTTTTTTTCTATTGGCAAAACGAACCCTATTTTTGGTGGCCGAACTATCGGTGCTTCACTATAAAAAACCCAAGGGTTGTTTTTCTTTTAAAACGCTCGTATGGTTGGTGGATGATTATAAGTTATATTGCAATTTAGATGGATAGGGGGAAACATACAATTTATAGAACACCAGATTGTGGTAAATACATTGTATATTCCACTCTGTATCTCGTCCAGACCCTCTAAATTCCATCAATATCACCTATACTATATGGGCAGCACAGTGGCTAAATGGTTAGCACTTCCGCCTGGCATTTCTAGGGTTGTTGGTTCAAATCCCAACCACGGCGGCACCTGCCTGGAGTTTGCATGTTTTCCCTGTGCCTGTGTGGGTTTCCTCCGGGTACTCCGGTTTCCTCCCACACTCCAAAGACATGCTGGTAAGGTAATTGGATCCTGTCTAAATCGTCCCTAGTATGTGTATGTATGAATGTGAGTTAGGGACCTTAGATTGTACACCCCTTGAGGGTTAGGGGGACCTTAGATTGTACACACCCCTTGAGGGTTAGGGGTTAGGGACCTTAGATTGTGCGCCCCTTGAGGGTTAGGGACCTTAGATTGTACGCCCCTTGAGGGTTAGGGACCTTAGATTGTACGCCCCTTGAGGGTTAGGGACTGATGTGAATGTACAATATATATGTAAAGTGCTGTGTAAATTGGCGGCACTATAGAAGTACCTGAAATGAATAATTTACTTGACACCATTCATCTGCTGTATGGGCATTTCTAAAGTACACAACTCCTGGAATTTTAAACGGAAATACCGTGCTCCCATTTCATGCCCATCCCAATCTCTGCCATCGGAGAGAATGTTTCCTACAAGAATACGATGCCACCAAAATAACCCTGAAGCTTTTCCTAACATTTTCCACTGTATTCAGCAGACTGAACTTGGAGTAGATGAGGAAAAAAAAGTAGAAACTTTATAGTGATTGCAAAGCATTATGTATACCCAGTGAAGTGATTGACCTCAGGTGATACACATAGATGAAACAAATCCTCCTACATAAGATGTACCTGTTTATCTGTAGCCATTTCTTCTCTTCAATCATCTCTTCTCTGCATCCCTTCAAAGTGCTGAATTTATAAAGCTTGTCTGAGCTGTCAAATAAGGGGGTGGAGAGCTGAAGTTATACACTGCAGAGCTGAGTGAGGAGAGCATTGAGAGCTGATTGGTTGCAGGAAAGGGACAACCCCCTCCCCCTTGCACACAGGAACAGAGCTGAGGCTGTCAATCTGCTGAAGGTCCCTCCCCTGTCACCATTTTTCTCTTGGTGTCAGGTAAACCTGTTAGTGATTCATGCTGGCAGCAGAGGAATCAAGCAGCAAACCATAATGGCACTTATTGCTCTGGATTGAGAAGTACACACTATAGAATTATATGCTTCCACTTTAAATAATGCAATTAAAAATCAGACCATGTGTTTTCAAATGTAGCTAATGTTAGTACTTGGCTATGTCCTTCATATTGGCCTCTACTGCCCATACAACAGTTCTCAGCCTAGGGCAGGGAGGCAAGCAAAAGAAACCAGTGACGCTCTGCTACTTTGCACATGCACTCACATTGAGAATGCTGATAGCAGGAGAGAGCAGAGTGATGACCATACCTCTGTACTGCTGACCGCATCAACAGGTTGTGGTGCATTCATTAAGGTGCCTCTGCAGTAGAGGTTGAACGTCTGGCAAGGACGTGTGGGTCACATGTCTGGCTGAACAGAAGTGCACATCTTTTGGCAGGTTATCCTGTTCCTATATATGTGTTGCAACATTGTATGTATTGGGAAACACACCACTAATAAAAGGCAGTAGCTGTGCTGTTTATTCCTAGAAATTCTGCACCTTCTTGGAGTTCTTTGCATTTTTGTTTCTTTTTGCCCTTCTTTTTTTACGGTCAGCTCCACCTTTTTGCTATAAGGCTTTCACTGTATTGATGGTTGAGATCATTTTTATGTGACAAGTAAACGTGCGGAAATTCTGCGTGCTTTTAAAATTGTGATGTTTTGCTAAACAGGAATGCAGGAAGTGTCAGTTCAAATTTCTGGGAGTTTTATTATTGCCAGTTGAGTTCATAATGCAGAAATAATGTGATTTCTGTGGCTGATTAATGTTTTTGGCTTTAAGTTAAAAATATTAAAAAAAAAAAGACTGTATAAACGCATGTGAGCTTGTGAAAGAAACCTTCCCTTTAGGAAGTGGCCTTTTAGCAGAACCCATGTGGATATTTTTAGGATTTACAGCATTTTGTATTTCCTTTTTGAAGTGGAAGGTTTTTTTTTTTTTTTTTATGTTTGTTTTTCTCTGTAGGCCTCAACTAGTCCCATTAGATTCTGTTCTTCACATCGCAAGGTTATTTAAGTGGAACTTCACCCATAACAACTTGATAGAAAAAAAGTCTTTAACACGGAACATACACTCACCGACCTCTTTATTAGGTACAATGGCTTGGTAACACAAATTGCTAATCAGCCAATCGCATGGCAGCAACTCAATGCATTTAGGCATGTAGATGTAGAAGAGACTTTCTGAAGTTCAAACCAAGCTTCAAAATTGGGAAGAAAGGGGATTTTAAGTGACTCTGAACGTGGCATGGTTGTTGGTGCCAGACGGGCTGGTCTGAGTATTTCAAAAACTGGTGATCTGCTGGGGTTTTCACGCACGACCATCTCTAGGGTTTACAGAGAACGGTCCGAAAAAGAGAAAATATCCAAGGTATGCAGAATATCATCTCTGAACATACAACGCATCGAACATTGAAGCAGATGGGCTACAGCAGCAGAAGACCACACTGGGTGCAACTCCTGTCAGCTAAGAACAGGAAACCAGATGGGCTGGTCTGAGTATTTCAAAAGCTGCTGATTTACTGGGATTTCCACACACAACCATCTCTAGGGTTTGCAGAGAACGGTCCGAAAAAGAGAAAATATCCAAGGTATGCAGAATATCATCTCTGAACGTACAACGCATTGAACATTGAAGCAGATGGGCTATAGCAGCAGAAGACCACACAGGGTGCCACTCCTGTCAGCTAAGAACAGGAAACCAGATGGGCTGGTCTGAGTATTTCAAAAGCTGCAGATTTACTGGGATTTTCACACACAGCCATCTCTAGGGTTTACAGAGAATGGTCTGAAAAAGAGAACATTTCCAGTGAGTGGCAGTTGTGTGGATGAAAATGCTTTGTTGATGTCAGAGGAGAATGGGTAGACTGATTCAAAGGCAACATTAACTCAAATACCCACTCGTTACAACCAATGTATGCAGAATATCATCTCTGAACATACAACTCCTCAAATGTTGAAGCAGATGGGCTACAGCAGCAGAAGACCACACTGGGTGCCACTCCTGTCAGCTAAGAACAGGAAACCAGACGGGCTGGGTCTGAGTATTTCAAAAGCTGCAGATTTACTGGGATTTTCACACACAGCCATCTCTAGGGTTTACAGAGAATGGTCTGAAAAAGAGAACATTTCCAGTGAGTGGCAGTTGTGTGGATGAAAATGCTTTGTTGATGTCAGATGAGAATGGGCAGACTGATTCAAAGGCAACATTAACTCAAATACCCACTCGTTACAACCAATGTATGCAGAATATCATCTCTGAACATACAATTCATCAAATGTTGAAGCAGATGGGCTACAGCAACAGAAGACCACTCCGGGTGCCACTTCTTTCAGCTAAGAACAGGAAACAGAGGCTGCAATTCGCACAGGATCACCAAAATCGGACAATGGAAGATTGGAAAAACGTTGCCTGGTCTGATGAGTCTCGATTTCAGCTACGACATTCAGATGGTTGGGTCAGAATTGGGCATAAACAACATGAAAGCATGGATCCATCCTGCCTTGTATCAATGGTTCAGACTGGTGGTGTCATGGTGTGGGGGATATTTTTCTTGGCACACTTTGGTCCCATTAGTACCAGTTAAGAGTAGTTTAAATGCCACGACCTACCTGAGTATTGTTGCTGACCATGTCCATCCCTTTATGCCTCCAGTGTCCCCATCTTCTGATG